CCTTTCCTGGATACCAAATTTATCGGAGGGACAGGGAACATCGTCAGGGTGGTGGTATCGTTGTGTATGTGAATGACAGTCAGGCAGTGTCGGATAACACCACTAAGTTTGCGTGCAGTACGGAAGCTATCTGGTTGACCATCAAGGATACCGGTTCCCCGCGTCTCGATGTTCTCACTGTCTGCCGACCACCTAGGACAGACAATATCGCCGACACTCAACTATTAGAGCAGTTGGAGAAATTTTCCAGTCGACCTAACATCATGATCATGGGCGACTGCAACGCACCAGGAACAAAGTGGAATACCCTCCAAGCGTCAGGTCCAAAATCGGCATTCGATTACCGCCTGTTGAGCAAGACATTAAATGCGTGCCTCACACAACATGTAATGTTCCCAACGAGAACACGTGAAGGACAAAGGGCAAACTGCCTGGATCTGGTCTTTACGGAAACACCAGACAGCAAAGACGAGACTAAATTTAAATTAAATTATTTTTATTAAAGACCCGTCGGGGTCCCTCCATGCCGCCCCTTGGCCGAAGTGACCACGTAGTGCATATGTGGAATTATTCGTTATTCTCCATTTCACATACTCCAGACCACAAAAGGCGTAATGTTTGGCGGGGCGACTTCAATCAGATGAGGGCAGACTTATCCGGTATTGACTGAGGCTCATTGATTACGGGAAGTGCCAACGATGACTGGGAGCTGTTCAAGAATGTGTTTCTGCAGCTCATCAACAACCATTGCCCACTGACTAGTGTAAGACTGAACAAACGCCCTGGGTGGCTAAATAGGAACCTTAAGAAAGAAATCAACAGGAAGCACAAATTGTGGAGAAAATACTGCGTCACTAGACAAGCTGAATGCTTCAACACCTACAAGACACAGAGGAACAAACTGAGGAAGCTGCCAATGGAGACGGGGCGGGAATTCGAGAAGGACTTGCTACAAAAAGCAACGCAGAACCCAAAATTGCTGTACAGCTACCTCCGACGAAATACAAGGAACAGGCAACAAATCCCCTTAATAAAGACTACTGATGGCGATGAGATCGCTGATAGTAGGGATAAAGCTGCGCATTTTTCACGGTTTTTCCAAGCAGTCTACACAAACGAGGCAAGGTTCCTTCCTCCCTCCACAGAAGAACTGCGGACTCCAAGCGTCAGTAATATACTCTTCTCAGAAGGCATTTTCCGAAGAGAATTAGAGGCATTGAACGAATCGAAGTCGCCAGGACCAGACGAGATTCCACCCAAGCTTGTGAAGGAACTTGCCAGTGAGCTCTCTGTGCATTTGTCGATGCTCTTTTAAACGCCATTTGACACTGGAACACTTCCTGTCGATTGGAAGCTGGCGCATATTACTCCGCTACACAAAGGAGGTTACATGGCAGCGACGAAAAATTACCGCCCCAGAAGCTTGACATGCATTCTCTGCAAAGTTATGGAAAGGATCATAAAGAGTGAACTGATGCACTTCCTGGAAGTTCACGGCCTGCTATCGGACTGCCAACATGTGTTTCGGAAAGGAAGATCCTGCACGACAAATCTTCTGCAATCTCTCCAGAGCTGGACCCGAGCTCTCGACGACAGGCGCGCGGTCCACATAGCCTTCATCGACTTCCAGAAGGCGTTCGACACTGTGCCACACCAAAGGCTCTTACATAAGTTGAAAAAAGTGGGGATCGGTGGCAACTTCCTTAAATGGATCGAAAACTTCCTTGTGGATCGACACCAGGTTTTGTGCATCGGTCGGGGAAAATCAGATCCGGCTATGGTCGACAGTGGTGTGCCCCAGGGTTCAGTGCTGGGACCCATTTTATTCCTTATCTACGTCGACGATGCCGCAAGAGATTTAGACTGTGAAGTAGCAATGTTTGCGGATGACATGAAGATATGGAGTGTAATTCGGTGTCCTGCCGACGAAGACAGACTGCAGATGAACCTGAATCGGTTGGAGGAGTGGTCAAACCGTTGGCTCCTGCGGTTAAACGTTGCCAAATGTAGCATACTTCGCCTAGGCAACACAGTCAGATCCGCCAGCACCAGAGGCTACTTTCTGGGCGGTGCAGCCCCACAAGAGGTCGAAGCCCAAAGGGACCTCGGTGTGCTGACGACGCGTTCCTTAAAACCATTCGCCCATTGTTCAAGGGTGTCAAAAAGCGCAATGTCCGTACTGTACGCCATCAAGCGGGCGTTTATGGACTTTGACGAAGAAGCTTTCTCTAAGACATTCGGAACATTCGTCCGGCCGCATTTAGAGTACGGCATACAAGCTTGGAGGCCGTGGGCTGTTGAGGATCAAAACTGTCTCGAAAAAGTCCAGAGGACAGCCACGAAGATGGTTAGGGGTCAAAGCTCCTTTCCTTATTCAACGCGCCTTGTAAATCTGAGCCCCTTTCCTTTGAGTTACAGGTAACTTCGCGGGGATCTCTTGCAAGCCTTCCGCATTGTAAAGGGGTTGGATTGCAGCCTGGCCTTCGAGGACTTTTTTGAATTTGCTACCACGACCAACCTCCAAGGTCACCCGTTAAAACTGCGAACTCAGCAGGCACGGCTGGATGTGCGGAAGTCCTCCTTCTCGGTTCGGGTGGTCAAACCATGGAATGAGCTTCCCGCAGATGTTGTGATGTCCCCATCTAAACAAAGTTTTAAGAAGAATCTGGACATATTTATATTCCGAAATGACCAAGAACGATGAGAAGTCGAGCTCACCCCTGTAACTTCTCATTTTGTCCCACCATTATGGGCGTGTTCGAACTATTTCAGCCCAGAACATCTATCTGTACACCAGACATTTTTTACGCTGCAAATAGGGTACTCAAAGGCTAACGCCAATTTCCCTCAATAAACTGAACTGAACTGATGGCGTACAGCATTAGGGTTTTGGCTTCTGCTGCCTTACGACACTGTGTAAAAGGATTTGGGATGTCTGCAATCCAAATTCTAAGATCCTTATGAGTTTCTGCTTCTTGGATTGGCGTTCCGTTTAAGTAGTATTGCCACGTATTATGGACCCGACTTCGATTTCCTAGACGTTTCAGTTCTGGTCACTTCCTCGAGAGTTTTATCAAATCACTAGCTTCCAGACGGGCTTCAGAGAGATTTGGCCTGATGCACACATATACAGCTTCCGCTAAGCCGATTAAGAACTGCTGAAATGAATTAATATCGTAAACATGAAGTCTCTCTTGAAAATCTCAATCGACTTTGCAATTTGTAGCACGGGGCAGTTGTTTTCAATGGAGGGACGGAGAGTAAGGCGAGAGGTAGAGTGCAGCTTGACTGTGTGTGTCCTCTTTTATTGGCAGACCATGACGTCGCGGCAGCTTCTTAGCTTTCCCCTTGTCCATCTTTTGTGAAATATATTACATTCGGTAGCCGATAGCTTTTGCTACATACTCTCACTTCTTGGAACACTCCGTTGGAAATATGAGTGATGCACCTGAAGATTATATTTCCGTGTTGAACGACGACGCCTTCGCGGAAATAGTTTCAGGAACAACGCTGTTGCCATCTGCTTAATCTCCAAAGGATTTTATGTGTGCGTACGACCGCCCTATTACACGTTATTTAGCAGCGAAATTCCAGCTACCATATTTTTCCGTGTTAGCCAGGACACACGACACACCACGACGGGTCCGCGTTCAGAATAACTTCAACCTTTTGCAAGAGTAATCGGAAAGCAAAAATGTATCTTTCAAAACAATCGAGTTTGCTCTAATTATTTCCCAGAAATCCCAAATGTGTTAGTTTTAATCAGTCTCTGGTGGTTCGTAATGCCGCCTATTGGACCTTGAGTGACCGTTGTGGTTGGTTGGATTCTGGTTTGCGTATTCCTTGATTTTCGAAGGCGATGCGTTAACTGAAGCCACATGCGGACGAATCTAATCGAGCGCGCAACCCAAAAGCCAAAACGTAAACAGACGAAAATGGCTTTGGTTAGGTAAAACAAATAAACGGCAAAACACAGCAGGATTGAAAAGCAAAGGAATATGGCTATCAGAGGGAAAATGCGATAGCAAATTGCCTTGGAATAATGGCAGTGCCAATTTACAACCGTTAATATCGACCGTTTCCCATGCAATTCACCGCCAATATAGGTAATGGCGATAGGCACATTCATATCGCCATGTCGAACCGGATGACGTTTCTGGACGGACCTCTAGAAACCAAAAACCATAAAAAAAACATAAATTTTGGGTGAGGTATGCGAGACTTTAAGAACGAACGACTGCTTGCCAACCATACTAACCTTCTAACTAACTAACCAACTAATTAACTAACTAACTAACCAAACTAACTAAACCAACTGACTAACAACGTACTAACAAAACTAATTAGCTCACTAGCAAACCAAACTAAACTAAACCAAACTCACTAAGTAACTAACTAGCTATACTGACTAACTAGCCGACGAATGACTGTTTACCAACCATACTAGGCTGCTGACTAACTAACCAACAAAGTAACAAATTAACTAACTAACCAAACTAACTAAACTAACTAACTGAATTAACTGACTAACAACGAACTTAATAAATTAATTAGCTAATTAACAAACCAAACTAAACTAAACTAAACTCGCTAAATAACTAACTGCCCAACTAACAATGCTAATTAACTAGCTATGCGGACTAACTAACCGACTAACTTACTAGACTAACTGATAAACTGCCTAACTAAACTAACTGACTAACAATTAACTAGCTAAATAAACTAACTAATAAACTTACTAGCCAGGAAAACTTTGAGCGAGTTGAGTGAGACTCAAAGTTAGTAACCATATGCTAACTTCTCACTTATCCGACTCTCTTAATGACATACTGCGGGTCTCTTAGTGGCTGGAGGTATCATCAAAAATAATTTCGAAAAATTAAAACTCTAGAAAGGTCCCAGAAGCCGCCGCAGCTCTCGAGAAAATGTTCGACTAATTACTCTTCAGCACTCTGAAGCACGTCCTCATATCGCTTTTTTTGGTCACTCGCTTTTCGAAGATGAGGATCGTCGTGTATCTGCTTCTGTTTGCAAGTTTTCTAGTCATATTCTCAGGTATTGACTCAGACATAATTGAATCTCCGGGAAATCTTAATGTTGTTCTTTTAGAATGTAAACCCAGTCGGTCAAAGTCCCGCTTTTCAAGCTATGGCAAACGTTCGCGCCATTCCTACATCGGCAGCAGGTCAACCGGTTTGTATGTTAACTGTCTCCAGAAACTAGGGTTTTGTGGCAGAGTCTTCTGTTTAATGTTTTTGGCCTTCCGGCCTGTCCTGAAACAATGTTTTGACAAAATTAGTTAGCAATTGCTACCTCTACGATGTATACAACGTGCTACACCCTATTGACGACGCAGTTGCTTTTAACCTTCTTAGGAGTCCATCTACAATTTCCACTACTTACATATGTCATAGAGTCTTGGTAATAATCGTAGCGAGGGAAGGACTGCAAAGTTGGCCGCGGAGACATATAGCAATTTAGGGGCAACACATGTAGGCGAAGGTTTTTGACGTACGTATTCCGGATGCTGCCTACGCCAGCTTCTCGAAATCTAGTCTTTCTGATATTATGGCGATATAGACGGTGCGACCCATGTCGACGTGTAGTCGATATCCCCATCTCAACATTTCGACACCAACTACCTAACTAGTCGTCATACCCTTTTCTATCATGACACGCGAATAGTGATTTGTGCTTCGCCCTAGACCGTTTACTACCAACTGGACTTATCCGAATCGCCATTGCCGTTGAAGTTTTGCTCGCAATACTATCGCCATCTCAAGTTATACTTACCTTGTGGAAGACCTCGAGAACTACTCGGCTCCACGGAAGAATAAGTTTTGCTGTTTGTGCGATGTGGGTCGAACTCATTTGTGGGTATTCTATTTTTTCACTATCCTAAGGCGTGATCACCCCACACACTGCTGTCTGTAAACCTTCCGCATGCGCCACGAACACAGGTTGAGACCTTAAAGACACAAGCTTATTGGAAACAAATCAGCAACAAGCACGACCGGCAAAAGCCTGCCTTTAACTACACCGAATATACATCGAGTGGATTAAACTCTACTGCTGAGTATGGTATTCTCAGATCTTCACCCTCACGAAATTTCACGCATTAATATGCACGTTACTGACTGAGGGATCGTGCAGTGACCACCTGAGTTGAGTCTTTTCGCTCATCCAAATGCTAAATTGAAATGAATCCATAGTGTGTTTCGATATATTCAACACAAGGTGCTTCGGCGTCCCCCTATGCAAATTTTTTGGGTGAAGAGACTAGAGGGGACTGGTGATTGTATGCCACCTCATAGCCCGCCTAAAGTCCCGGATAGCCACCTCACAGCCCAACCCAACCCCGCCATATCTGAAGGGGGTTTGTGCCAGCAGGGACATATATAGATGACGTACTTTTAGGCCCATATCTCGATCTTTTATTGCTCCACTATTCACTCCGTTTCTGAGACGATAGCAGTAGCATGCACTCTTTGTCCATCAGTAAAATCTGCTTTCAGCTCCCTTGCATTTTCTTTGCCTGCGTAATCGTCTTTCACCAAGACGATATAATCTGCTTGAAGAAACAACCTGCATGATAGACAGCTTGAAGGCCAGTCAGCGCGTTAAAAGTTGGAGGGTAGTGAAACCCATCTCTATCAGGTGCTTACCACGAAATTACCAGACTCTTTGGTCGTATGAATTTGCGGCTGCAGTCCATGCATCGGAAGTAGTCAGTCGTAGTTGTTTACGGGTCTGGAAAGTCGATTATCCCCAAAGGGTATCGCAATCCAAAATGGTATTATGACACGGCGTTTGTTGTCCGCTACCTGTTAAGGCTTTAGCACCATCGTCGCCCCAGAAACTAAACTCGTGCCTGTTGAGCGAGCGGGACCGGAGACCTCGCTTTTATGTTATCTCTGTGGGGACCCGTAAACTGTGCCATGGACTCTCGGGACCGACTTAACCAGTTACCTGAAGTGGTTTAGCAGAATCGTCCAGTCTTATAATCGGGTTTGCACCGCTATTCAAAAAATTTCAGCTTTTAGATCCCACATCAGCTAGTTTACTAACATTACTTCATTCCTCTCAGAAAGCACTGACTTGCCTTTCGATTACTGGTCTATCTGACTGAGGACAGAAAATAAGTCCGAAATGGTCATACTGGTCGTCATCCATGTACCTCCGGATCAGTAGTCTGTGAATCTGTGAGTGCCTGTCTTGTTTTCTCTAACCGGATCGGCTGCGTTCGACAAATATTCCAGATTATAGCCGTCAGATCATGGGTTACTTTAGTAACTTCCTCCTAGTATGAGCAGTAATTTAGGCTTTTTGGCCTCCGTTACGTGTTACATTAGAGATCGGGGTAGACTATGGGAGCTCTGGCAATTCTCGAGCTAGAATACAGTAAGGTAAGGTATATGAAATAGGGCAATTTTTTTAGAAGCTGCTTCTATGTTCTGGAAAAATAAAAGTGTACCGCAAACCTCGTTTGTGTGTAAAATCGTTTTTGGTAAACATGCAAGTAGGATCACTTTATGGGCAATGTATGACTTATTTTATCCCCATTCCTTTCCCTCCATTTGCCAAAAGGTCCATGAGTCGTAAATCAGCTCTCCTTGGGACTACCGCTGGGCTAGCTGGTGCTTACATTGTCGTTAAACTTGCTTCTCACGATCGCCTGAGTGAGTCTGCACAGTGACGGAAACTGCTTTTCATTTACCCCAAGTTTAATGCTGTCTCCAGTATTATTTTATGTGGTAATGGATAGCGAATATTACGATTTGTGTACTTCCAAAACTTACGTATGCACATTTGGGACGTTAAACCGTTGAGGGGTTGTTTATTCGTTAAGGGAACCTCCCAGAGTTAAATCCCTGATATGTTCAGTTGGTGACTTGCCACATTAAGTTATCTGGTTCTCCTACATTACCCTTCAGTCACCCACTTCTCCGTTCGTTGTTTTGCTGAGGGAGGCGGCTGCAATTCTTCGTAACACGTCACCTAAGCGCCAATGCGAAAAGGCTTGACAGTGAAAAGCATTCGAATGCACATTCTGTCTTGCGAGGATAGTAACAGTCAGTCGGTTGCCTCCGTGAGTGGCGGTCGTCGTTTGCTTTCACATGTGACAACGTATGTGCGACAGTCTTTCGTCACAGCTTTGAAACCCATCCTATTCTCCTCGATCTTTCGACCGTCCAAAGGCGACGTGTTCCTCGACTGTCTCGGAAGGAGACACTGATGATTTGCGCCTATGTTTGCGTGCATAGAGCGGACTTGCTCTCCATCTACCTCACTCACTCCTACAACTTTCGTCGTGCTTCAATAACAGGAGATGGGCGTGGTTCCGGACTCCACATATAACAGGTTTCATTTTGATGGAATATCGGACCTCAGTCAAGAGATAATGTCATTAAAAACACTTTAAGAGGTTGCGATTGCAGTCCGAACCCCACTTCTGAGAAGAATCGAGTTATCCCGTCATCTGGCAACCGCGCATGCCGCTCAATCTTTATGATGAATGTCTCACTGCCGACCCCTCTCCTTTTCACTGATGGGCTCTTTAAGTCTGTCGACCGACCGAGGATGAGACTAGGTTCAGTGACTGGCCTGGCGGGGCCTTTTACTTACACCGCATGCATTTGCGCAATAGTTTGGAGTTCATGCAAACCCACTACAGTCTGGTGAACGTTTTTAGCGAGCCAACACTTTCTCCTCTTTGATTCAAGGCAACTGCATCTCAACCCATTTAGGACATCTTTGCGTCATCACTTGAACGGCACTAGACGATGCAGTGAATCATTCGGCAGAACTAACACATGAATACCTATACGGTTTTTGGGCGTTGAGAGTTCGCCTAGTTGGACGTGATCGAGATTGCAATGATGTTGTACCGGAGGCTAAGCGCAAGTTGTGTTTTTCAGTTCTACCAGTTTTGATAGATGACCGCTCACCCATCGCACTCTGTTTTTTCACACATCTTGGAACATGTTTGAGAAGTAGAAAGTCTCAGTCATAGAAGCCTGCGTTCGTTTTCTACGGCTGTGATCGTGCCTGCTCTTGCCGATGTCGATTATGCCTCAACAGCGGACTTGGATTGCATCTTCCCTTCCGAGTTTTCAAGGTTCACGAGCCACCTAACCAGATTTTTGGCTTATCTATTTTTCGATGCACGGAGGTGAGCAGTAGCGTCGAATTGTATGAGACTGGGTATGGCTGTTCGAAGACGACTAACAAACCCTCATTGTTTCACGAGCCGGAAATTTCAAGTATGAGGAGTCTGTTGTTTTCACAAAATAGTTAGGTTTCATCCGAGACTATCGGACTAATAGCTTAAATCTAAAGGGCTTTAACATAGCCGACGGCATGCCTGCGAATCGAAAGCACATCTTTACTGACGCAAATGCGTGAGCTTTTTATGGTAAGTTTTCAAACAATCAACGGTTTAATAGGAGCGCGCTCACCGATCGCGCTATGGAACTCACTCGTCCCGTTGGGCCTTGGGACTCTCTCTCTCTCTAGTCCCGCCAGCAACCATACAGCGGTGCATAACCGACAAAGACAAGGGAGACTGGGATGGCCACTTCTGACTTATTAGCCGTCGTCAGCTAGCCATACCCAACCCCGAGGTGTGGAATACCTGGGGTTCGACCCCGCGACCTGTTGGTTGGAAGTCAAACGCCTCCAAACATTGAGCCACAGGCTCGTGGTTCTGCCGGTTGCGATCGAGTATATGCAATGGTAAATATGCGCTCACTGATCGCGCTACGCTACTCAGTCCCCCTTGCCTTTGGCAGTAATGATATTTGGCCTACACTATACGCCTCTGTGCGGCTGCTGGCTGGGTTCAAGATAGGGCACCAAGGCACAGTGGGACGAGTGAGTTCTGCAGCGCGATCTGTGAGGACCCATCTGTCATTATATGTACCCGATCGCAACCGACGGAACCACGAGCCCGTGGCTCAATGGTTAAGGGCGTTGGACTTCTAACCAACAGGTCGCGGAATCGAGCCACTGGTGTTTCACACCTCGGGGTTGGGTATGGCTGACTGACGACGGCTAGTAAGCCAAAAATGGCCATTCCAGTCTCTCTTGTCTTTATCGGTAATGCTGTTTTGTCTACCAGCGTTGTTTCCCTCTGCAGACTTGGGTTCAAGTCAAGTGCTTCTTCTAGGCCTCCAGACGAAACCCACCTTCATTATTTCGTCCCCTGACCAACTCATTATTGTCTTCTTATCTGGGAAAATTTGCGGAATAGGTAGTAATTCAGTTGATCATAAAGTGAAGCAGTTGTGCCAGTTACTCATGTGCTGGTGTGCTCTGCAAGGGCAGAAATTTAGTAAATTTTTCAAGTTCAGGAACTAGAACGACGCTTGTAATGCGAAATCTGGCCGTGCTCAAGCACCACAGATAACTTTGTCTCACTCCCTGTTTATTGCCTGCTCCATGCAGCTGTCTTGGATTCGGTGCATGTAATCTGTGCTAGTGCTGCACTGACCTCGGAAGCAGACTGCGACTGGCAGTCTCGTATTGGATCTTCCGGTGTTTCGAATGTACCACACCTGGATCTGCTGGCACGGCGTTCATTTACATGAGAAAATTGAAATTTCGATTGGAACTTGAGTGTCTTGTTTTTTTCTGACAGCAGTTGTTAACCATCATCGGCCCCGGGAGATGGCAACATGACGGTGGCATGCGTAGACGAACGAATACCTGACCAGCCACTGCGCGGACACGTTTCTCCAGTATGTAAAGAGGGAGGGGGTTAGATGCTGTGCAAGCTCCTCTACCCTAAACGTACAGTAGGTGTGCTAACTCATGGAATGTTGACCGACATTTTGAAATGCGCTTTCGTTCCGAAAAGATAACTTAAGTAGGGTTGTAAAACTACTCATCATGCAGTATAATTCTATAATAATTCAGTTACATCGAGATGCCGGCTTTCGAACGAACTTTTTGCGGTCGCATGTAAAAACCAGACTTTGTAAAAATTGACTGCCTAAGTAGCATGAATTTTTCTCATTGATTTTCGATGCCCTTAATAATTCAATTATATTTCATAGAAAACATGCATAAAAATATTCCTTCTTTTACTCATTCGGCAGAAAATTACTTTTTCTTCCAATTTTACACTTGAAGAACGGGTATAATTCGGTTTTCAAAAACTTTTCCAAGTCCCGAATAACTTTGAACACGACCTGCCGTTGCACTTGCATTCAGGGTTTCCAAACTACAAGCTGTGTTTTTCTTTCGCGTATGAAAAACCATACGTTTCTCTATGGTATTAAGAGGAGATCGTATGGGGTTCATAAAATTTAGCAGTGGATTTGAGCCATATTGTAAATTTAAGAAACCACATTACCAAATGCAGCGACACGATGCTTTATGAACAGGCATTTCACGGTATTGAAAATCCCACAATTTGAAACTTTTTTAAAACCGAATTATACCCTTTCTTCAAGTATAAAATTGGAAGAAGAAAAAGAAGTAATTTTCTACCGAATGGGTAAAAGAATGAACATCTTTGTGCATGTTTTCTATGAAATATAATTACATTTTTAAGGGCATCGAAAATCTATGAGAAAAATTCATGCTACATAAGCAGTCACTTTTTACAGAGTCTGGTTTTTACATGGGACCGCAAAAAGTTCGTTCGAAGGCCGCCATCCCGGGGTAACTGAGTTATTACAGAATTATGCTGCATGCTGACTAATTTCACAACTCTATTCGGAACGAAAACACATTTTAGAATTCCGGTTAACATTTAATGAATTAGCACACCTACTGTGCTCACGCAGAAGTTTCTTTTTCTCCCCTAAGGCAGTGATGGTATCGTCGTTTACGACAGATAGACTATCGAGCCTTTCCTAGTTGTCTTCCTCTGGTCACTACCTTTGATAAAAATCCTTTTCAGCTCTGTTGACCCTCTCACTTCTCAAGGTCGGTATACCGTGTGCGAGGGTCCTCGTCAGGAAATAAATGAGTACGGTGTGATGACAACCTACCAGTACACTGTGTGCCCAATGTCTGCCCCCTACTGCTGTCGGAGTTATGACTACATTGGCGAGCGCTGTTGTCCGGGCGAAATGTGAGTCAGAACTTCTTATTTCGGCTCTTTCATCCAATCCGGTTCTTTACTGACCACTTTATACGATTTGGAGAAAGCAAAGATCACTTTTTTACGAAATGTAGTGCCTGGCCGTTGTCTTCGGATTTTGCATACCGCACGACTATTAAGAGCCGATTTTTGCCGCCCTACTAAAACGACTCGTTCTATATTACGTCCAGATAAGATCCTACGGCTTCTTTTAGGGCATTTAATACTTTTCCTTCCTTAACTGCTACAGAGAGGAACTTCGCGTTCTGAGACAAGAAGTCACTGGTAAACCCTGCTTGCACAAAATTCTTCTTTCTCACGATGCTTGCTTCCACTCCCAACTCATGCAGTAATTAGATTCTATGTCGTAGTTCGCCCACAACGTGCTTCCGCTAACCTCCGTCAATCAATCGTCAAGTGGGATGTTCCCTATTTTCTTGTAACTTCCAAATGTCTCCGGACCTTCCTTTTTAGCGTTTTTTGGGACTGTAGTTATCAGTTGTTGTAGAAATGACCATTCTACTGGCTTGCTTTGTTCTGCCTACCATGTAGCCACTCATCTATTTAGTCAACTACGACTTCGTAAATTGCGCCAATAAGGGCTGTCCTTTTATTTCCTGCAAACCGTAACGCGACTCGAACGGGAAGGTAAAGGGCCTAAGTACTCATCCAAGTCTCGTCCCTTAGGACCACACGGCCGTTAAGCGCATAGTATCTTTTATGGCACAACTCCTTGCAGAGTTATTCTGCTCTGCGGGAAATTTTGCCAACTGACATATTTATTCTCGGTAGGACTTTATTAATTATCAAAATGAAATCAGGATAAAAAGGCGTACTGTGAAAGGCAAGAGCTAGGCTAAGCTGTTCCCTTCGTTCCTCTCCAATTTGCTTATCAAAATTAGTGTTTGGTTGCTAAACTCCACGTGTTCTGTGTTGCTTTGCTTTCGGTCCATGTGCGTCATAGGAGGCAAACTGGTCATTCTAGATGGCGGGGACGGAGCCGCCCAGTTTGTGCTTTTGCCATTTCGTCAGTAGGTCAGGTTTGCATGTTTCTTTGGTTTTCGGGTTATGTCAGGACAGTTGGAAAGGTGGTTAAAACAGGCAGTGCCTCCAGCTATGTTCTGTCAGCTGCCCACTACCCCCTGACCCCATGAGTAAGCACACGGTAGGGCACACCTCGACCAGAAAGTGACAGTCTTACCTCCATTCAAACGCCGACCCCTAAATCACTGCCTACGTCGTCCGTGCGACACCCTGTCCACAATGAGCCCCTTAAACAATCTGTCACTGCCTCTATGGTTGAAAATACGGTTCGTTCGTACAAAGTATTCTCCTGAGCATCATTCGCGTTCCTCTGATAGTGAAAAAAGACAGTAATTAGCTTCTTTATTTTTCGTTTTTCTGCATTTAGGCGCGGCTTTCAGCCAGCCTTCACCATGGCTTCCGTCTTCGGGGGGCCTTTGAATGATTGCGCTCTTCTGTGCCCTCGTATATTTCTGCTGTTTTCGGCGAAAGCGGCATAATTGTAGTTCTTCAGTTCGTGCCACTGGGACTGTACTGGCCCCCATGGATGACGATCCTCCCGTCCTTCCTGTCCCCTTCTCCAAGCCGACCATCCCGGTCAGTGAACCCCTCTGCTTTTTTTTCATATTTGTTCAATCCTCCAGACCTCGGACCTGCCTCGGCCGAGCTGTTTTTTGACTTCACGAGCCAAAAATCTCATAGACATGTGACGAAGTGAATTTTGCAAGTTTCATGAGAAATAATAGTACATTTGTGATATGTTTAACTCTTTAGCGTCGTCATTTTACAGTGGGAATTTCCCTGTGACTAGAAAGGGTATGCTGTTCTATTGTCT